TGACTCCATTATCAAGAGACTAGTTTAAAAACATGCAAATAAGGAAAGGTACAAGAATAGCATAAATTAGACTGAACGGCTTAAACAAACACCTTGGCGCGGATGGAATCCGTTTGCACGTCTATACTAGTAGATTTGCCATTTTTTGCCACTAGTGGCCGATTGACCATTTTGAGCACCAATGGCAGATTTGCCGTTTTGGCCAATAGCGGGAAGATATGCCACTTTAGTCCCTAGTGGCAGATTTGTCATTTTGGCCATAAGTGGTAGAGTAGCCATTTTGGCCACTAGTGGCAGAGTAGCTATTTTGGCTATTAGTGGCAGATTAGCCATGTTGACCACTAGTGGCAGATCAACCATTGTGGCCCCTCGTGGTAGACTTAACATTTTGGCCACCACTGGGAGATTAACCATTTTGGCCACTAGTGGCGGATTAGCCATTTTGGTCACTAAAGGCCGACTCGTCTTTTTGGCCACTCGTGAGAGATGAGCTATTACGGTCAGTCGGTGGCAGAATAGCTTTAATGGCCACTAGTGGCCGATACAACATTTTGGCCACTAATTGCAGATTAGGCAATTTGGATACTAGTCGTTGAATCGCTATTTTGAGAGTTTAAAGACGAGTGGAATTGCAGTTAAGTAAGAAATTTAATGATAATTAACATGGAAAATTAAAATTAAAAGATGGCCTGTTTAATTATCACTGGAGTCCTGTGGATGGTCTGTTACAGAAAGAGTTTGGTTCTTGAGCTAGCCTCTATAAGATGTCATTACACTTGATATTGTTATTATTTTATTGATAATTATTGTTAATATGATTAACTTTTAACCGTTTAATTTTTTGTTGAGTGTCAATTAGTCAGTATATTCCTGATATACTTGTCTCTTGTGGAATAGGGCGCTCATAAAGATGTAGGGTGCGGGTGAGCAGAAGCCACATGCAGTCAGAACTGCCTACATTCTTTCTTTTAGCGATGGCTTTTTAAGATGGTGACGGAGAAGGCGTCACAGTATTGTCGCTTCCATAAGCGTGATGGTGGATTTTTAATGTGGACGATGAGTGAATCTGGAGGTTTGCGTTATCATGTGAACGCAATATCATGGACGGGTGAGAACAATACAGAAACGCAACCGAAATGGCTCGTTTGGTGGTTAGTTAAAGTGGCCCTTAAGTTTTTAAAAAGGGGGTAGTTTCTAAAGAAACTGTAGTGCTGCATGGATGGAGGTAACAAAGTAAATTGGGCTCTATCAACTGCGTTGATCATGTAAATTGACCACCGTAAAGAGTTTAAAAATTGACGTTTCGAGCGTTAGTCCTTCATCAGAGCATAGTTTGTAGTTATTATTACAAGTTATTTAGTAGTTCCCCTCTACTAACTATGATCACAGCTAATGACGGACGAAGGGCTGACGCTCGAAATGTCAGCTCTTATCTCCTGTCATCTGTAGTTTAGCCTAACAGACCCCTGATCAAACTGAACAAAATCAAACAAACAGAGACTCGCTCTTAAACACAGAAGACGCGACATTTGATTAAATTGACTGGAGTCATAAAAAGTGTTTCGAAGTAATTATGTATTATCACTTGATGTCTGAGAATTCATCGCATTTGCTTATCGCAATCTGAAAAGCTGCCATTATCCGCCACGCTGCATTGTTTCATTCCTATCAATAGGAAGAGAATGCGGCGTGCGTTTCAAATTGTGTGCAACATGCCAAAGAACGTGAAATCGGCTGTGCATTGAAGTAAGACGAAAGTGTTTCATAATGAATACCGATCAATGACAATGAACATACCGCTCCATTGGAAGGATTCTTTGTGACACGTCACAAAGAATCCTTTCAGTGGAGCGGAATGTTTCCCCATTAATTTGAAAGGGACACCGCATTGGCGGTAAATTTGGAAAGTATTTAAGATCTTAGAAAGTTTGCGTCAGTTGCCGTCGGATTTCAAACGATCACATCAACTACTAGTGTATTAGCGACATAAAACATCAGTTGTCATCGGATTTCATACGATAACATCAGAAACCACAGTGCGTTAACGACTTAAAACGAGATGGAGGAGTCTGCAACTGCGTTACAGAACTCTGTGTCACTTGCAATCGGCCCAATGAAGCTCAAAGACGAATTTTCACACAGAAAGTCTTCATTTATGGTTGAAGACATCGTGCAAATTCAAAATTTTTCGCCATGTCCGGAGAAAGGTTTGCTCGATCATGGATTTCAAGACGCAATGCAAACTCCGCAAACGATGGCGGGTGGTAGTTGTTCATCAAATATGCCCTCAAGTAAGATTTATTTTCATCTTTTCATATTAAAAACATTGTTGCTCATTTAATTAAGTTATACATGATGTTTTTAGTGCGTCGTTGATCGGTTCGTAAGGAATTTAAAAAACCTTCCGCAACTGTTTCAGAAGTTTTCTCTTCTGTCTAAGTCGCACGCCTAACTTAACATCAGAGAAATTGTAACGATCATTTTCGACCTTCTGTTGTGCATTCAGCATAAATAGATAACTCATTGAAATTTGTTTCGCCTTCAATTTTCAGCCTTTGTTAATACAAGAGACTCAGTTTTAGGTACTCAGTTTCGTGTCACAATGCACGTGGAAATTCAAGTTTACTCGGTATTCTAAAGACATCAATTAACATAGGGTGTGGACAAAACCTGGCCTAGGCCACATAGCCTACCCTGTGGCCTACCCTATGGCCTACCGGTGGTCAGATTTTTAAAGGGATAGTATTGCTGGAAACCTTTAAACGTTTTCCTGAGTACTGTCTTACCAACGACTTTCTTCTGCTGTTTTGGCGGCTACATTCCGATCAAAATTTCTTAACCTTCTGATAGAATAAGGAAATCGAGCAACAGAAGCCGGTTAAACGCAACTTTTGGGCAAACATCATCATATCAGCTCTCCTTTCAAATTAATGCAATACTGGCCCTTTCTTTGGAAAAGCAAGTAAAGTTTGCGAAATGTTTACAACGGCGATGCGTGCGTGTCCCGGGGTGATCGTTGCAAATTCAATACTCTACAGCACTTGAGGGTACTTAAAAAATTGGCCTGGCACGTAATGTTTGCGTTTTCTTGCCTGGATATGTATGCTCTCCAATATAACGCCGTTCATTACATTTTTACACCAGCACTCCACTTTCTTTTACCAACTGACAGCCTGCATCATAAAGCCGCCATTTGACGCAATATTGGCCCTTCCTCTCCCCTCCCCCTTAACCTAACGTTATGGTTGAGTGCTGTGATATTTGCAGTGTTTCGTTCCCTCGGACGTTGAAAATCGTGTTAGCGACCTCTTAGTATACCTTTTTCAGAGTCAGATAATTGTACACCAGCATATTCGTTCGACTCTTACTGATTTTATTTTTATGTTCTTAAAAATCTGACCACCGGTACGCCACAGAGGGGGTCACAGGGTAGGCCATGGCCTAGGCCAGGTTTTGTCCACACCCATTAACATAAGCGACTCAAGCAGCAAGCTTCCAACATCTTACATTATATTATCTTCGTTTACACTCATTCCCCCAATATGGCAAACTCATCTTAGCAAGATTTTGTATCATAGAAACCCTATACTTCATTACGAAAACAAGTCTTTGATAAAAGCGGACAATTGCGAAAAAAACTAGACCACCTTTGGGAATGAAGGTTCGTTTAAGAACGGTATGGGTGATTCTAAGATCTTTCTCTCGTCACGGTGCCTTATTTCAGGTGAAAGAAAGGAAAAGCCGTTGACGTTTTCTAGTTGATTAGGTGCCCCCCCCTCCTAAAGAAATATCGATCACCATGGCAAACGCATTGCTGTAGCTAAAACCAAAACCAGTTATAAATGCTAACAATAATTTTCATCGTGTCTGTTATTGTGAAGGAAAAGCCTTTGAAATTAAAACAAAAAAAGATCTCAGTTTTGTTTGAATCTCAGATAATGGCGTTAGGTTTCTTTCTGTTCACAGGTTGTGAGGAACCAAGCCCTGTTCAGGGCCGATCCAGCAAACTCCGTTCGTCGTTCTCAGTGGGTCAGGTGATGCAATTAGAACGAGTTTTTGAACGACAGAAGTACCTGGGTTCTAGAGACAGACAGAGGCTTGCAGAGCAGCTGCAGATGACCGAGACACAGGTAAAGAGACGTTTCCAGCTTGTTTTTGAGTTATCCTGACCAGCCACAGCTAAGCATACTAAAGGAAGAGCCAACCTGTAGGAAATGTACAAGTGGGTGCGGCCGCGCCCTAAAAAAAAGTCAGAGACGAAGTTGGGTATAACGCCGTTCCCATTTCATTTGATTGGCAGAAACTACATCGTTTGGTCTGATAAGTAAAACCACGCCTTTGCCAAAACAATGAATAGCAGTCAACTTATTTATCATCGATCTTAACGAGACAACTTGACATAAATGACGTACCATCTTATTGCTCGAGTAGATTCAGTATAATTTGGATATATCAACAAAGTTGAAATGGTAAATTGGCCACCGTAACGATTACAAAAGCTGTCGTTTCGAGCGTTAGCCCTTCGTCGGAGCGAATAGAGGAATTGTGGGTTGTGTGTGCTTTTAAAGGCAGAAAATGGAGCTACCCATTTTCAGTATACCCCATCTAGGAACCGGCCATTATTTATATTTCAGGGGAGGGGGGAGGGTCGGTCGTAGGCCTTTATAGATTATGCTAGCATAATTTTTGGCATAATTTGAGCAAACTGGCATAATTTCTGCCAAGTGGCAATGCTAGCATAATAGCCCATTTGCGAATTACCCATGGCCTCATTTTCAAAACGAGTCCTCGTGCTCAACCATTCTTGTGAAAATGAGTTTAATTTGCATGTGAATGGAAACTTATTACAGTCGAACCTCGATTATCCGGACTTTTTCTCTGGTCCCGTTTTTTTTCATGATTATTAATGAGCTTTGATCTTCCAAACTTTATGAGGTAAAAAAATTCAGAGATTATGTCTAAATTCAGGAAAAGTGCGTTTAAAACATTGCCTCCTCCGCTTTCAAAAGATCGAGCACTCGGAGAGTCATCGAAGCAGATTTTTATCTTCATTTCTTTTGTTTAGTAATA